CAGGCTGATGAGGTGCAGGTGCGGGTCGTTGCTGGGCTCAGGAGCAGAGGGAGAGAGAGCACACACAGGGGAGAAAACACAAGGAGGCAGGCAGGGAACAGAAAACCAAGGAAAAAGAAGAATAACTGATAAAAAGGAGAAAAAAACAGCCGGGCTGCCACCACAACAAGAAGGCCTATTATTGAAACAGTCGTGTGAAGATCTGCTAAAGATTAAGCACAGTAACAAAGTCATTGATTTGATTATTGAATAGGATATGTATAGCAGACAAATTGTGAAAACAAATAAGTGTTTAAAAGAGAAATAATATTAGAATTTCAAAGGGGAAAAGCAAAGCAAACAGTGGCGACTGTATTGTTATAAGGCAAAAAAACACCAGGTCATTGTGATCAGTGTCATGAAGAGACGATAAAGCATATTCAAGTCACATGCAGAAAATACACAGACAAGAGTGATGATGACACAGTTCCAGAAAACAGGGCAAGTACAGGCCAGTAAAAAAACTAATGTGGAAACAGTGAGGAGGAAAGAAATGTTCTATTTCTCATGAGAACAACTGAACTAATTACACTTCTTTAAAAGAAATGGATGTTGAGGACGACCAAATCCGCAACTAAGCAACGAGGGGAGGTTTGGAGCTATGTGGACAGAGCGAACGAATGGTGGACGGGAAACATAGGATCGAACTTTTGTTTGGCGGATCTGCATAAACTGTACTGTGAATGTAACATCATGTCAAATAGTTCAGATGGGGATGAGATGGAGTGGATGATGTTCAGATCTGTGAGATTGAAAAGGGATTTGAGAGAAAGAGATAGAAGGAAAAGTTGGTCGGAGCATAGCGAGACCGGCTAGGCAAGTAAAAGCAAGAAACTGAGAGCTAGTCAGTGTGAGAAACACAAGCCTGAGAATATGCTCAAAAAAGCTCAAGGAAACGATTGGAAAGTTATAATTGAGTTCAACCAGGATGGTGGGCACTATCACCCAATTAAACTTACCAAGGTGATTGAGAAGGAGATTGGCAAAATTAAATTTGCAAGATTTTTGAACAACAAACGACTACTGATATAAGCAAGCAGCAAACAACAACAAGAAAAGATTCTTAGTATATCCACACTTCAAGGGGAAAGGATGAAGGTTTACATCCCAGGAGCAATAGCAAAGGTTAGAGGAGTTATCTCAGGAGTCCCATTGAATATGTCAATGGAAGATGTTAAAAATGAGATTCAGGGGGGCAAAGTAGTTGAGGCTACTAGATTAAAAAGAAAATGAGATGGATCATTAAAAGAAACACTATCTGTGGTTGTGCAATTAGAGAGAACACTGCCTAAGTCGGTTCAAATTGGGTTACATGAATTACAGCGTGCGAGAATACATCCCTCCCTCTATCAGATGTTATAAATATCAAAGAATAGGGCACACGGCTCAGCAGTGCAAAAGAAAGCTAAGATGTGCTACATGGGGGCCAGCACGAGTATGGTAAATGTGAAAAGGATGCAATGATTAAATGTTGTAACTGTGGAGGAGAGCATAGTGCTGCATTTGGTGGATGTGAAGTGCAAAGAGAAGCCAGAGAAGCCCAAAAGGTGAAGGTTTTGAACAAAGTATCATATGCTGAAGCTCTAAAGAAAGTAAGAGAAACAGGATTAAATAACAAAAACTCCAGTGGAATTTTCCAAAGAAACATAAAACCAGTTAATCAGACACAAAGCCAGATTCCAACTCACACACAGAATGGTTGCGAGCATAAATGTAAAGTTGACGATGATGCTTTGATAGTGAAGAAAGTGAACTTTGTGGGTTTCATTTTACATTTACATTTACATTTACTCATTTGGCAGATGCTTTTATCCAAAGCGACTTACATTTGAGGAACAACAATCAAGCATCAACAGAACATCAAATACAGATCAAGAACTGACAATACATGCTAGTAAGAGCAGCAATAAATACTAGTAAGAGCTACTTACTACATATCACACCAATGGGGTAAATACCTAGGGAAAGAAGTAAGAGTTAACAAAAAGTGCAATCAAAACAAAAAAGTGCAATCAATACAAGATCACTGTAGGGGATAGAAGAAGAAGAGCACAGGACGTGCATGGGAGAGGTTAGGAGTTAGAGATGTTATAAGAGGAAGTGTTCTCGGAAGAAATGAGTTTTCAAGAGCTTCTTGAGGGACGCACCTGCTCGCCTGGCGGGAAAGATAGATAGAGTTACGGTAGAGTTGTTTTATAAGTTACAGCATCAATGTTGCATCCCAGTTGAAAAAGAAAAGTGACAGAATTAAGGCAATTGTAGAAGCAGCAGGAGAACTCCTTGATATGAAAGATATCAAAGCAGATCAAATACATGCATTGTTGACTGTAAACTGAAAATGGAAATACACAAACTGAGGATTAGGACGCTTATAATGGTTCTTCACATACTACAGTAGAACGCAATAAGTCTTATAACAAATGGTCAAGAATTCAAAAAGTACATTCATGAATTAGTTGTTGTTCCAGACGTAATATGTTTACAAGAAACTTAGTTATGAGACAGACTAGATTTTGTGATACCAGGGTTTAGCTCTATATGGTATGATAGACCTAACAACCAAACTGGTGAAGGGTGCATCACCTTTATCAAGGATGGGTTGGCCTACAGGGAGTTCCCTAGATAAGAAAATTTAGAATGTATAATAATTGTAAAATATTTAAATATATATATATAAACTATAGTCCAAGAAAAGAGGGAAATATTAAATTGATTAATTTCTATAACCAATGCAAAAATTTAGATATTAACAAACTTAATGGATTGGCAGGGACTGTATACAGGAAATTTCAATGCACATAACAGCCTATGGGGCAGCAATCACACACATGATAATGGGGATATAATGGAAGAAATGATGGAAGAAAGATCACTGGTCTGCATTAATGGACAGGCAACACGAATAGGTGTGAATAGGGGTAAAACATCATGTTTAGATATTACACTGGTATCAGATAATTTGGTAAACAAATGCGAATGGTTTGTTATGAATGATTCTACCATAGGAAGTGACCATTTTCCAGTTCCCATTATAATCGACACACATGTATGTTTGCAAGAAGGAAGTACAATTAACAGACGGTGCTTTGAAAAAGCAGACTGGGAAAAATTTAGGATATGTTGTACGAAGTCAGCAAACCTTGTAACGTTAGAAGGTGACATAGAGGAATGCACAAAGCAAATTACAGAACACATTATAAATGCAGCAAATTTAAGTATTCCAAAAAGAACAAGTGCAGGAAGAAAGTGGTCCCCTGGTGGAATGAGGAGTGTAGCAGAGCTGTAAAAGAACGAAACAAAGCTTAAAGAAGAATTTGTCACAAGAGAATGTTTTAGATTTTCAAAGGAAAAGGGCAGTGGCACGTAGGACAGTTAAGTTAACCAAAAAGAAAAATTGGATTGTTCCACCATAGGTAGAGGGGTAGAGTTAGGGGATATGTGGTCTATGTTTAAAAGAATGAGTGGGAAAAGGAAAGCGACTAAAATCCCAGATTTGGATTTTACAATATCAGAACTCAAAATAGCTCTGCTAGGCACGGGATATACAGCCACAGGACAAGATCAGTTATGTTATGCCATGTTCCAACAGTTGCCAATAGAGTCAATTAAGCTAGTGTTAAGACTGTTCAATAAAATATGGAAAGACGGAATAATAACGAGAAGTTGGAAAAGTGCAGTTATACTACCATTTAACAAACCTGGTAAAGACCGCACCAATCCTGGTAATTATAGACCCATAGCTCTGACATCTCACTTATGCAAATGGATGGAGAGGATAATAGTTCGTAGGTTATCACATGTAGTGGAACAGAGAGGACTACTGAGTAACATACATAATGGATTTTGGAAAGGGCGCTCCACCACAGATGCTCTCGTTAGAGTAAGTTAGGAGGTAGAAAAGGCCATGAAAATGAAAGAGCTGATGATAATAGTGTATTTTGACATTGAGAAGGCATACTATGTGGAGGGAAGGACTACTTATTAAACTAAGTAGAATGGGTTTTGAAGGAAGGATTTATAACTGGATATTAGCATTTTTAACAAATAGAAAAATTAGAGTAAAGGTTGGATCAGAAGTTTCTACAGAGTTTAAGGTAAATAATGGTATTCCCCAGGGGAGCACAATTAGCCCTATGTTATTCAACATTATGATTAATGACATATTTTCAGATTTAGATGGACACATCAAATGAGCGTTATATGCAGATGATGGGGCCATATGGATGAGAGGAAGAAATGAGACATATGTGTTAGAGAACATTAGGAAAGCAATAGGGCTAGTAGGGAAGTGGTCATTTGAGTGGGTATTTAAAATATCAACAAGCAAATCCTGTTATATGGTGTTCACAAACAAGCATAACTGTCATGTAGAAAAGCTTTTATTATATCAGCAGCCAATGGAAAAAGTAAATGAATTTAAGTATTTGGGATTGTGGTTTGATAATAAGTACACATGGAAAACACAAATAAAGCAATTGGAAACTAAATGCAAAAAAGTTATTAATTTACTGAGAGCAGTGGCGGGGTGTGAATGGCGTGCAGATAAACAGTCACTAATTGACATTCCTTTTTTTTATTGAGGATTAGGAATAGTGAAAATTGTGAAAACTGTGGGGTTAAATAAAATGTTGAACGTGTCATTTTGCACTGCATATTGTTTGAGTTGGAAAGACAGATATTTCAAGATAGGGTTCAGGAGGCAGGGCAGGAATGGAATCTGATGGGGGTATTGGGAACAGAAGGAGAGGAAAAGGGGATAAGAATCACCAGGAAGGCATTATTTAAATTTCTTAAAGTCACTGGGTTGGTGAACAGAACATGAGAGCACCTTATTAATGAGTTTTGTAGTTGAGTGATATGATGGGACACACTCCAGTACAGTAGGTGGCAGTATGCACCTAAACGTTGTTTGCAATCCGCCATTAACTAAGAGAAGAAGCAGTGTCGTTGTTGGACTGCATGTTGGCGTGACTACTCCGTGGCAGTAGGTGGCGGTAATGCACTGCATGTCAGTCATCATTTAAGCCTAACACCAGAAAAAGAGCTTGTTGCTAACTTTCAGACTGGAAGGTGAGATAATTAGTTGTTTTGTGGCTGTCACTGCGTTTTTCACCTAGAGGTTATGCGGCCTATTCGTCGCTATAGTTTAGTAGACGATTATAGTGAATGTCATTGAAATATCATCCATTATAAAGAGAGAAAAGCAAGCTTTTTTGAATATGGCTTGTAAGCTAAGAAATGATCCACTGTCGGCTAAAGCACGATTCACTTAACTTTATTTCTATCATCTGATCCATGTGTTACATCAGTATGTTCACATTTATTCCAGGATTTGTATTATATCAGCAGGTTTACTCTTTGGAAACAGTTTTTAGTTGAACTTGGTTATAATCACAGTAACTAGCAGACTGATCTGAACGTAGATGATGGCGTATGGCGATTGTTGTGTTTGGTGTCCTTGGTCGTTTTTATGCTGTCACTAACATTTACTTAAAGCATTAGTATGTAATAATAATGGCTCATGAAGATAGCTGTTACCTTTTTATAACAAGCAGTACACAAAACCTTAAGCGGCGACTTTTCATAACAATGTACTTATTTTCTTAAGCTGTTTTCAGAAACAATGGATCAGAAAATTCCTTATGATGACTACCAGCTCCCAGTGGTATTTCTGCCTTCGTATGAGAACCCACCAGCATGGATACCTCCACAGGAGGTATGCCACATATTAGTAGAATCAAACTTAAACCCATACGTTAACAAATAAAAAGGTTTACTAGTTTATTTTCTGAAGCTTCCACTGCACCTTCAATTCTTCATTGGTCTGTCTCCTATGTCTCCTTGTCCCTGGACAAGAGACTTTATTAACAACAAACACATTTGCTGTCAGAAAAAAGCTGGTCACTGGAAAGGTGCCGAAGTCATTGACCAGGAGTCAGTGGACGGCCAAAGAAAGATCAGGGTGTTTACATCTGTCACGAAACGTAAAGACTGTGATACAGTTGAAAGCTTTGCAAAAAGCAAGATGCTCCTTGAGTTACTGTTTCCAACATTCCAATATAAAGGACTTTCATGCTCAGTATACGTAACTTTTCTGCTGATTTGCCTAGTTGCAGAGATCTCTGAGAATTTCTGCATCTGAGTGTTGACTCTTATCTGATTGCTGTTACTAAGTTAAAGTGTCTAAGAAAGATCAAGCTCACACAGTCATAATGGATATCATGCCACTATTCTGCTAGTACTTAGTCAGCTTTTCTTTTTTGTTCATTTTTAGCGGGTTAATCAGCCTGACTACAACAACGAGCTCACCCAGTTCTTGCCCCGTACCATTGTGTTGAAGAAACCTCCAGGAGCACAGCTGGGCTTCAATATTCGTGGGGGAAAGGCGTCACAGCTGGGAATCTTTATATCCAAGGTATGTGTGTAAAACCCTGCTGTTTGGTATGGCTTTCACTAGCATCCACGTTTGTTGTGTTTAGGGTTGGTCGTTTCAATATTGTTGATTCTGATTCTACTCATCAAGTCTGGTTCTTATTGAATCGCAGTTCTGATTCCAACCCCTTCACCACAAATCTTGTCACACCTCAGTGACATTTATCGACTTTCTCTGATGATCTTCCCCTTCATAGCTAAGGTGAAATGAGTTTCTGTACTAGAGGGCTGTCTCTGGGGACTCATGTCTAAGAAAACTATATATTGGAATCATTAGTAGATATCAATCATTTACCTTCAAAATAAAATATTAAAATCTGCTCATTTGTGTTTTGTACCTGAGTGAAAGACGTTGCTACTGCTACTTGCGTTAGCAGTATCTGGGGCGTCATTGTAGCTGGGAGACAACAACTTATTGAAAACGATGATGAAGTAAATGCTTCGTCGTATTGGAGATGCTTCCTCCCTTGCGGTAAATATCCTTACTGCAGGTGTTGCATTTTGCTGTGTCATTATCTTTTTTAGTGAAGCTATGCCAAATATTTTGAGTGTTTGGTGCAGTCCGCCATGGTCCAAGAATGTAAACAGAAATACTCTCTCCTCCCATGATTTGTTGATGTACTGCGTAACAAATGACGTAGCAGGTCCTGACATATAAGTTAAACTTTTATGGACTGTAAAATGCTCACTGTCATTCAAATGGGAGTGCCACTGAAATAAGCAAAAAGTTAGAAACCAATAAGCAGAATCTAAATGCAAATGTCTTATCGAATCCATGGTTTTTGTTACCCAACCCTAGTTGTGTTGCTAAGTGATCATTTGCTTTACAATTTACATATTGTGATTTCTAATTTCTGTTTGTTTGTGTGTGTGATGTGTTGGCAGGTGGTCCCAGACTCAGATGCTCACAGAGCAGGGCTACAAGAAGGAGACCAGGTTCTTTCTGTCAATGAGGTTGATTTCCAAGACATAGAGCACTCAAGAGTAAGTCAGAGCAGTGCTTTTACGATAAGATCCATACAGATTTCTATCAACACATTATTATACAGTATCCATCTGTTTAGTACAATATTAGTGATATTCAGAAAGGAATATTAATCATGTTTCAATCAATATATTTTGATTGAAACCATGATTGATGATACATTATCACTGCATACCTACAACAATGGACCAGGAAGGTCCATTGTTGTAGGTAGTTCAGGAAGACTAGTGACCACTTTGTAGAAGCTAATCAGAATCCAAATAAAGAATATCAATGTGAAACAACTCCACATATGCAACACTGCTGCTCTGTCATCTTCAGTGTAGTTGGAACGTGTTGAAAATGCAACTTTAACAGATTTGTGTTATCATTATCACTCCAGAATATGGAGAAAATTTAATGGATAGTATTAACACAAGTTTTCAACATAGAGCTAGTGTATGTTTATAAAGGTTGAACACTCTTGTCAAATTATAAACTGGTCAGAGTAGGCTGATTAGTCAGCCTCGAATGTAAAACCCCACAAAATTCTAATCTTCATAAGAATTTAGTGTATATTTTGGCAATCTATTAAGACCAAAACCAAAAGCAACATTTTGACCAGGGAATATTTGGGAGCATGTTGTGGAAGAAAATTTTTACAACTTAAGGGGACAGTTAGGACCTCAATGGAAACAAATAGATGACCACACTATCAAAAATTAAATCAAAGAATAAGACTACATTTTTCATAATGTAAAGTGCTGTAAGATGATGTTTATCTCAATCACATTTGTGTAAAATGCACCTTTATTTTATAACATACCATTACTTATTTCAGTATTTTAATTCCCATTTAAATATCTAAATATCTCACATTTTCATGGTTAAAACTAGAGGTCGACCGATATGTTTTTTTTCACGCCGATGCCGATACCGATACCGATACCGATCTTTTGAAATCCGGGTCGGCCGATGGCCGATTAATGCTGCCGATTTATTTTGGCCGATATTTGCTTGGTTTTTAACCTCTATTTGCACCGAACTGAAGCTCAGAAATCCGCGTTGATATTCGGTGCGGTAGATAACGGTCGTTAAGGTTCCAGTGCCGTATTAGCACCGGGTCTGTCTGTAGCTACCCGTTAGCAAAGCAAAGCCAGTCTGTCACTAGCCTATAGTGCGTTGGTCTCTTTTTTTATTACTTATTTCTCTGCATTGAGTGACAACCCTCTAAAATATAAGACACACAAACAGAACAAATAAAAGTCTCAGATTCACTCTGTAATTGCAAAATTATTGCTTACTTATTGTGACATGATAGCAACTCTTCTGTGATAATGCAACTTCAACTACGATCCAAATTAGCCGAATGTCATGTGTTTTATTCAGGTTTTTTCTCGAAGTTGGCAGTAACATATCAAAAGTTTTTAATTAAATATAAAGGAGTAATAAGAATTGAATCCTTACCGTTAGCTCCTTAGGCACTGGATGAGGTCTGCTGCTCACTCGGCTGGAAAATGACTCTAGCGGCAGCACGCGTCAAACACGTGTTCCACGACAACACTAGGCTGCCCACAGATGCGCCTGCCTAATAATCGGCTTGATATACTTGGATATTGGCCGATGCCGATTATGTTAAAAAATGCCAAAAATCGTCCGATTAATCGGTCGACCTCTAGTTAAAACATTACTGTTTAGGCATTCTGATGTTAAACATATAATTTTCGTTTTTTCGCTGCTCCTGACGTTATCTTATATCCTTGTGAATGGGCAAATAGCACATACAAATAATGCCTAAATAAGAATACCCCAGAACTGCATTGTTGTCATTATTTTCCCAACTGTGTTTTATTGGTGAGAGCCGTTTTATTGTATTGCATTAAGTGAATTGCTTTTTCCTCTTTAGGCTGTAGAGATTCTGAAGACTGCGCGAGAAATACTGATGAGGGTTCGCTTCTTTCCTTACAGTAAGTATCTATCTTAAGAATGATCTGTACTTGTGGAGAATATATAAGGGTTTCTGGCTTTGAAACTTATAATTTAACTTTGGTTGGATGGTTTGGTATTGGAGAGAACTGAAACCATGGAACATGTTGCAACTACATGGAGAGGAATTAAGATGTCAGAAATCACTAATTATGGTAAAACAAATGCATAATTTGGTTTAAAATACAGGAAGTGTAATTATTTATTAGTAATTGTGCTAATGTGGTCATAATTTTAAATAAAATTTAATACAATAGTATTTCAGTATTTTGACTGAATATATAATTTGTCTTTAAAGGCCCAATCAGTATTTATGTGACCATAAATAACAGCTAAATTCATGTACAGTAAATGAGGTTCTTGACTTATATATGTAAAATTAGCCCTTTGTGTTATTCGTCACAGGTCATAATTAATAATTTAAAATATAGGCCTGCTTGCAAACATTATTGATGCAAACAAAGCATCTGTTAAAGGTTTGTTGTATACCTTATCAAAATGATGTTAAATGATGTCAAATGATGTTAATGTGTGAGCAAAGCCACCGCAAAGAACACATCTCTTTTTCTGATAAACCACACTTCAGGAATTTGAAACTTGTACTTAGATGCAAGTATGTTACAGTATACACATACTGTAGCTAAGATAACGATCTCACAGATTGTCTTAAAAAAGAACATACACGCAAAATAACATATGGCTTTGGAGTCAGTGAATTCAATAATGCTGGTAGGAGATTATGAAATACACCCTTTTCAGTATTGTAATGTTGTCCTCTATATGTTCTTTCATCAGACTACCAAAGGCAGAAGGAGAGGACTGTACATTAGGTGGCAGCAAAGAATGCTAGAGGAAGAAAGGTGGACACGCTTCACTGCACGTCTTTACCCCCCTCCCACAAACTCTGGCCTCCATTCTTTCTCAGCTTCAAGATGACTGATGTATGACTAACAGACTCATTCAGAGTCCTCCATGTAAGGACATCATATACTCGGATTCCTCTCTCACCCAGTTATCTGAGCAGTCCCTAATCTACTGTGACGCATGACGTTTACTCCATCAGGATGAACATATTCACTCGTCAAGCCTAACATTTATAAATTCTGCATTATTTAATTAAGCATCGCCTTTATTTACTTTTCCTCAAGTCCTAATCAGATGTTTCTACTGTAGTCTTGTAGAATATATTACTAGTACTAAAGTACACTTGTGGGTACTGTACACATTTGCCACATAGCTTTCTAGGCGACCACTCAAAGCGCTTTTACACTACATCTGCATTCACCATTCACTCACAGAGCATAAGTGCTCAAACAGAAACTATCATTCATACACTGGCAGAACACAAGGACACTTCGACATGCAGCCTGGGGGAGCCGGGGATTGAACCGCCGACCTTCTGATTAACGGGCAACCTGCTCTACCTCCTGAGCCACAGCCCTCTATCTATCTATTGATCTATCGATCGATAGATAGATAGATATACACATACACTTCGCTGCTAGTTTTAGGTACGCCTAGCTAAAACTGATGCAGTCCAAAAAAACAACAACCCTGCAATACAACTCAAAAGAATCACAAAATACAGCCTCCAAAATGACCATATGATTGAATCAACACCTCAGTTGCAACCAAACCTGAATATTAAAACCCTCTTAACAGTAGGATTTATTGCCAGGGTAGTGTATATTACTGCATTAGTTCATAAGTGAACCGAATAAATTGGCAACTGAGTGTAAATACATGTAAAGAATGACCATAATGACTTAGACTTCAGTACACATGGTACTAAACCAGCAGGGCCTTACTGTAAGCAAATTATAGTGCAACACTTCTAGTAGATTTTAAATATCACTGTGAATGTACCGAACATCCAGTTTTTAAATAATTAACAAGCATTTATAATTGTGTAGGAAATAGTAAGTTATGTAATTTCTATTGGGGACCCAGCATTATTTTACGTCACGTATTCATTTTGTTCAAATAAGTTTTACATACACTGCTCCTGGGCTGAATGATATCGTAGTTATTTAATGGATAAACTGTATATTTGAGATGCCAAACTGTGAACAAGTATAACTTCCAACATGCGCCAACTGTGCAGGCTGTTGCAGTTTCTCCTGCTTGTCATCTTACAACAATTTCCCCTCGGGGATCAAGAAAGTATTTCTGATTTTGATGCTATTAAAGTGCATCATAACAGCACATTGTGTCCTGTATCTTGAGATGTGTATCTTAGTATAGTGGTAAAGCCTGTAATGGGATGTTCTCTATGATCTGGGTGTAACGGCTCTGATGTTAGCAGGATTGGATTTCATTCCAACTGAAGACTCTTATCAGGTATTTTCATCATTTTGTCGCTGTAGTTCAAGATGTGCTGATCAGTACAATCAGTGGAGACATACTTTGGCTGTAAAGCAAATCTGCATCCATTCCAGAATTTATAGTTAACAGTTGAATACCTCTGGATGTCATTGCAGTATGCTAGTATACAGAACGTTCATTTAAACATTTGTAAATACCTGCACAGCAACACTGTCTTATCCTTTTGTACATTAATTTTTCCATAAAAGGGAATAACTTTGTTTTCCATATGATTATTTTCATCAGAATTTTCCATAAAGGATCATGGCAGTGACGAGGCAAAAATAAATATAAGGGTTTGAACCATAGTAACCTTTTGTCTTTGTGTACTTGAGCCAGAGCTCGGAATGGACCGGTTTGCTTTGGTGCAAGTAGCCAAACTTGTTCCACTTTGTAGGTTGGTTTGTCTCGAGACTGATTGTCATCTTAAGAGGAATGCCGTCAATGACAGTGATTACCAAAGATGGTTAACCTTGAGAAGTTTATTAAAAAGTCAAGACCACGTAATGTCCTTAACATCAAATATCTTAAGAACAAACTAACAAAAGCCTGCAGGACTTTATTCCTGGGTCCTTCGTTCATTGTGACTTCATCTTAGCGTACGGTAACTTCAAATAAATAAGATATGCTTTATGGTCATTCCAATCCTTCAGGTAAAATAATATTCAACTTACAAAATACAGACTTCATATGTACATTTTACATGTTAACACAACCTAACTTGGTTTTGATTCTCAGATCAACAACTGAGTGCCAATGCAAGTCTAGGGTCTGTATAACTTATTAGATCGTATAAACTTTGATTGCATCTGAATAAATACAATGAACCTTTCTATGTTACACATTAAAGATGGAAATAAAGCACAGTTACACAGTGATCATGACTAAATAAAATTAAACAGTAATAAAATGTTCACATTAGGTTTAAGTTTTTTTTTTGTTTTACATTCAATTAATCTTTGCATTTTAACAGATTCAAGGTCGACACCCAGAGCTGCTGCACAAACCCAGAACCTTACAGCATAATAGATTTCATGTTACCCTATTAACATGTTTTAAATATAATGGTGTAACTAGCCAAATTAATGTGATTTAACAAAATAAAAACCTCACTATTAAGTGTTTCCTTACATTCAACAAAAAAAATAAAAAGCTACGCTAAAACAAGCAATTCATTTATTTAAAAAAAAAAAGAAAAATCAGGAATGTGGGGTTTATGAATGTGGTCATTTCACTTCACTACTTTCACCGCTGACAAATTTTCTTTCACGGTCACTTGCAAAGAGCCATAGCAGACAACTACACTTCATTTCCTCTTCAAATTTGTTCATGTGCATTGTAAATTTAGTGCTGTAACCAAGACATAAAAGTAAAAAAACAGCGCGGTGGCTAACACTGGAAACATGTTTAGCTTAGTTCAGCCTGGAGTCAGGTGAATGGCAACTTGATCTGTGCTGTAAACACTTCATGCTCTTGCTCATCCCAAAAAGGCACAGTGATTTCTGAAACTGGATAAATCACACAGTGCTGAAGGTCTCAAATATGAATTTTTGAGTATATACAATCCATGCCTCAACCTTCCTCACGTCATTTTGATGTGATTTAACTGCTGTCCTCACTGTTCTGAGCATCCACGTTTTCTAGCGAGTCTGCTCTCTGTATCGACAGCTCGGCAGGGTCCATTATGGGCAGGGTGCTCTGCTCTGGGTACAACCAGGGCTTCAGGTCGGGAGAGTGCTTCTGTTTCCACTCTGGGTAGTTCTGTCCCGCCTTGTGTACACTCTGCATGACCTGAAAGGAGTAGGCCAAAGAGAGGATACCATTATCAGAGGGCTGCAGTCTTGACAATGTGGATCATACCACACCTTCAGTCTCAGGCAACAAAGCTGAAGATAAAGCTGATCACAAAATACTGTGCAATAGATTATGTGGCAAGCAGTTACACAAGTCTAACTATTTACAGCTCTGCCGCAGTCTACATGAAAGTTAAGTGTAACAAATTTTAAAGCATTAACATTTGAACAAAGGCCTTTACATTAGAGTATAAAATGGTGATCTTGCCTTTGCAACCTTCAGTTTTCAAATCTGGTTATTCAAACAAAACTATCAGCTTTGACTATGAATTAGGGAACAACCCCCCCCCCCCTAATCATCAGCCTGATGTTAAAAAAAAAATTAAATCTAATAAATCATATAAAAAAGCAAGAAGTCACTGATTTTAGTCTCTCAAATGTAAATATTTGCTGTGTTTATTTAGCCTTCTGTGATAGTAAATGGAATGGCTTGAGGTTTTTTGGACAAAACAATTTGAAGCGACACCCTGGACATTTTTCACTATTTTCGGACACTTCATAGACTTATCATTTATTCGATTAATCAAGAAAATACTTAAGTTGCAACCTTACTCCAGTCACTCAGATTTAGGTATGCAAGAAAACTAGCAAGACCCCACAAGTCTTAACTTCTTTACCAAAACCTGCTTTGTTAGATGGGTTTTGTTCATTGCAATTCCATATTAAGAGAACCACAGCCTGGCTGAAATGGTTCTTACAGGCATGTATTTTGTATTATTAGTCCTCTAGTATCATTCTCAGTTTGACTTAGCTACTAACTTAGCCAGTTATATTTTATTGCCTTATAAATTATAATCGTTTAGTTTATAGAAATCATTGTAACGAGATAAATAAGGTCAATGTTTCTGTTAATAAAAAGGCACAAGTCTCCCAATTACAGTTTCTTAGTCGCACATAAATCTGCAGAAGGAAAGAAACCTGGGGAACGAGTTCTGCAACAGCTCGAGCTGAGAATCTCATTTGTCAGCAGCCTTCCTAGGACAGGCCCTTAAAGTGGGTTTCTATGGTTACCATTGTCCTGTGAGACACATGAAACCCTCACTCCCTTCTGCATGCGACACACGCACACCTATTACACACCTTTTAATCATCATGGACACACACGCCCCCACACTGTCGGGCACACTGGGACACAGTTCATGTATTTTTAACTTCATTTTCAGTGCTGCCGTTAAGTATACAAAACTTCTAACCAAAATAGTTTGTGACAATACGTGTTTCATTACATACCCGTGGAGCGAGTACTTGGGAAGCTTTGTTAACCACAACCTTCGGAAGAGAACCTGGAAGAAGAGATAAACTTTTAAAAGAGCTCTAAAAATGTTCAGCAACAATTCTCACTTTAAAAAAAAAAAAAAAAGAAAGAACCATTTTAGTGTTGATTTATGGTCTTACCTTTGGGGTCAGCTTGTGAAAGGTATGTGAAAGAACAGCTATTTGGTCCTAGGGGCTTGATCAGATAGCCAGTGAGGATGGAAACAGCCCTCACAAGGTTGCTGCGAGGAGGGTATTTCTGTGATTGAATCAAAAGAGTTTGCAGAATAGTGAGAAAAACTACATTTTGAACTAAAAACACCTCTTACAGACAAGTTACAGGTTATGTGAATTGGACCCTATCACAGTTGTTAAGACAAATGTAAAGATGTAAAATAGCTGTTAAACAAAAACATATAATAAATGCTCACAAAATATTAAGACAATAAGTGGCAGAGATCTGTAATGGCACTTATAAAGACAGTGCCTATTATGTGCCTGGGAGGGTGTGTAGGAAGTGGCGTACCGGGTGTTTGACTGAGAAGTTAATGATAATGTACTCATCATCCATCACCTGCCACGAACGCAGGCTCACCACATCTCTGTTCTTGATTGGCTTTGGGCAAAGCCCTGCAGAGAAAGAAGGGAAAAATTACATACAAATCTGGTTATATTGTGTTTAGACTTGCTTCATTTCTTCAGGTTTTCACTCTCAAACGTAGACCTGCACCATTGTTACAACAATGAATACACTGTTTGAGCGAGAGACTGCTCATTCTTCATCCCTGATGGGTTCAGCAGTTTACAAAAAAGGTGTCGAACAGATTGTAATAAATTAGAAATGGAAGTAAAAGAGACACAACAATTCATTATGGATGGATTAAAACAAACAAACAATCTGGTTTGTGTGTGTAAATATTGACAAAAATATAGTGACACAGCATTGTTTCACTGTAGACTAACAGGTGTCTGGTGGGTGACTTTTAGAGAGAGGGAGAAACACACACAAAGAGGAATGTGATAAGATGCAATAAGAGTCCTCACATGAATAGTAGCCCACATCAGCGTTCGCAGAGAGCCGGGCGATGTCAAAACTCTCCAACATGGCTGGGTCCCATTCCTTGCGGTACTGGCCGTCATGAAGGACGTCGTACATGGTGGCTGCTGATACGTCTTTGATTATCATTTTACACTGAAACACATACACAATGTCCTTTAAAAATACAGCAAAGTGAAGTTAACAGCAGACTACCCACAGTCTAGTATGACACCCTAGAGTTGATTATTTTCTAAACAGTGTGAAGTTGGTGTTGAATGAACTTACCTTGATGTTGTGGACTTTAGACCCTTGATTTCCTTTATTTGGAGGAATTTCGACCCACACTTGCATCCCATTGCTGTCATACTTGTTCACCCAATTGTCCGTGGATAAACACTGCTTTCTGAAGTCAGCAAAGACCGCCTCGTCGGGTATAATACTCGAATGAAGAGGCATCTTATCTTTAAAAAAAGAGAAAAAAAAGAAGTTTCTTCTTGGAAAAAAATTATTCCTTCCTTCTGACAGTCCAGTGTGTGCGCTTGACCCGTGTCGACTGAAGAGATTTTAGACGCAGTTGTGTGCCACGGGCGAATAAATATATGCGATCGCCAATCAAGTCGAGCGGGATTTTTGTGCTGGAATTCATGTGCCATTCCTTCAAACACCTCTCCCACCTACGTCACACTACTTAATGAATCTAGGTGTGCTACGCAGGTACTTGCAGAAAGAAACTTTTAGTCCCGCCCTCGCAGATAGGACCAGAAAGGCTAACCCCAGTTCATCAGCATTGATGTTTACCATGTGATACCGTTGCTATAGGTCAAAACTGATACCCAGAGGAGATGAGGAGAAAAACCCCCAAAAAGAGCACTGTTGGTGTCTGAGAGTGAAAGATAAAAAACAAGGGCACACATAGTGGGCCTGAACACTGTGGGCTGCGCTGGGGAGTAGGTGCGAATTGCTCAGTGTTGATGAATCCACCGTATCATCACGACTATAAATGTTAAACAATAAGAGTACACAAAAACAAGTCATGAGCGCAATATATTTATCATTTAAGCCAGAATTCATGCTCTTTAATGGGTCTTAAGGACTTTTAAACAACTTCCTAAAACATAGCTAGAATTGAGGTGGATCTTACTTATTTATAGATATATGGCTGTTTTATTTGAACAATTAATAGTAATACAATCTGACCTACATCATCGATAGAATTTAAAAAAAAGGAAAATAGGTCACTGTGTTGAAAATGTGGAATTTTTAAAACAAATATAGGCTTCATTTTACAATTGACCAAGTCAACACTTTTTCTTTTACTGCCATATGTACAGCAAATACACTCATTTATAATCAAGTAGGTGATCCACAATATAATCACAGTGGAATATAGACCTACTCGTATAAATAGGCCGATATGTTGAAAGTTGGCAATACTTTTTTTTTTTTTTTTTTAAACATTCACATTTCATTCACACGCCCTCAGTAGATATTTCCCAAACATGTACATGAACAGTGTCAAGTTGTAAATATGTTCTACTGCAATCTCAAGTTTATACTTAGCCACACCTTTCTGTTGAAACAATTCACTGACAAATGAGTTGTTTCGGTATACCTTGCCGACATGTCACATGTTCATCACATTCAACTCAGGTGCAGTATATTCTTGATTATATAGGCTCTTCTGATGAAGAGAGCATTTGAAATTGAGCGAATTATGAATATGCCTTAAGGCTGGTCCCTTTTTCCAACAGCAGTGCTTTATATAAAACAGATCACAGATGTTAAATGTTTGGTGAAATATCTTTATTTTATTCCATGTGATAGGCCTACACTTGTGTTTCATTAACTCTCATTTTTATACATCAGAATGTAATAGTACATTATTCACACAAACGTTGCTAAACACGAGTAGACAGCATATTTCAAATGGACAGACACAATTCAGAATAGCACAAAGCTGAGTATTTAATCAGTGACAAGTAATAGAAGAGCTGCTCATGTTAAAATGGTTGTTCGATGTAATTAAACACTTAAAATCCATTAAATGTTTTAAGACATTTTAAAAACAAGCTACAGCAAATGACCAATGTCTTTTGTTGTGCTATGGCAAGTTAGTTCGTTTGTGTTACACTGTGTTTGTGTGTGATTGCGCATCTGGAAAAGCTGCAGCCTTTACCTGTAAATCAAGCTACCGACTACACACACACACTGCAAAAATGTAATTCCTACCAGTGTGACAAAGAAAAAAGTCGCCTTTAGGTGGAGTCCCAGCAGACACGCAAATAAATAAAATAAACTTTCAACATGCGTGTCAGCATCTGCACTTTTGGTCAAGCAAACAATGTTATCTGTATGTCCATGTTACAAAATAAATAAAACACATAAAACCAACAGTCTTACACAGGCAATAGCAATACAGCAAAGGATACTGCAACTAACTTCTCTGCACTTTTTACAGCAAGGGTGTTAGTAAGCATTAGCTGTATCCGAGGACAAAGTCTTACCTACCAGCTCTACGAAACAAGGAATGAAGCCATGAACCAGTCAGCAGGCTTCTGTTATATTTTACAATATTGTGGCTTGATTCAGTGCACAACGTTGGTGAACAAACAAGCAAGGCATCTGTGTTCTTATCCATATAAATCCTGCATGGTGAGCATGCTGCATGTTCTTGCAAATAGTGTAATCAACACAACACAAATGATCAATGGGTTCGTGGGTACATCATAGCGACCAAAGTGACAACTTTCCATCAGCGTGGAAAAAGTAAACACTGGCTTTTTAAAAAATATTTCCTTGTTCCTTCTAATAACAGAAACTCCTACTCAGACATCTTAGTATGCGTGCAGCTAATTTAACAACATTGGAAAGACAGTTGCTATCATTTTAATGCAGACATAGCTTCAGGTTAGTAGCTATTCTAATGAACTTGGGATGGCTTCCCTTTGATGGAAATTGATATCGATTTCCTCATTAGTTGGTTAGTTGCATATCTTTTGCATTACTGTTTTAATTAAGGTCTCAAATTACATACATTTGGCCCACTAACACACTGTTTTACTGGCAGTAGAACCCTACCGATGTGTTAGGTATAAATAATACCTAATCAATGGACCACTGACTCTCTTCCGTGAAAAGGATCCTTTTAAGCCTAATATGGTAATATGATGGTTAGCAATAATGTAAATTCACTGGTAAGATCCTGGCCCTACCTCCTCAAAATAAGACAAAGACACACTCAGTTATCTGAGAGATAATAGTTTTAGGCAAACTCTCCATTTAAAATAAAAAAGTAGAATACAATGGGCTGAGAACTCAACCTTGCAGAGTCATTTAAATAATCCCAAGCAGTTTTACCTTACAACAATGACAAGAGTAACAGCACTAAAATTCCGAACTGTGCAATAACTCATGAGCGGTTAGCTATGTCAGTCTGCAATTCCATATAATGCCATGCAACTGGATGAAAATCTGAACATATCATTGAACTTATTCCTTGTTTTAAACGTTTACTTCTGAACCATTTTTTCCCAGATAATCTGTTTCAATACGGTAATGCACATCCACACGGTTACTCTGAAAAGTCACTGAGTTGAAAAGGGGGAAAAAAAGACAGGTCCTCCATCCCTATGGCAGTGTGCCAAGGGTGGAGAGAGTGGCCACTGAGAGACAAGCTGTTGGTGGGGAGGAGACAGGCTAGGTGAGGGTGAGGTGTACTAGCATGAGCAGCTGCTCTCGGTGACAGTCATCTCTGGCTGTTTCTCCAGTTTAATGTCGATCACTGAAGGGACTTGGTTAAGTTGCATCATTGATGAATTTGCACATTTCACTTCACTATTTTCTGCACTGCTATCTCCTTAGTGCACACTCTTTCTTTTTGGTAGAGTAAAGAGGCACTTGTTACCAGCTGGACAGATTTTCTACTTTTATAACATCAAAGCCATGGCGGCAATAGATGACAATCGTTATGACAACGATTTCTGTTCAAGGCATCATTAAAAAGGATACTGTCCTCTTTGCTTTTCTCTGGTGTGCTATCCATCCCAGGCAACGCAGCAGCAACACGACGGAACAGCTATAAAACAAAGTCAGAAGAATTTTAGATTTGAACACATTTGGAAATGGGGTATAATGCGAAATGCTGTCAAATAGGGGTGGGTGATTTAGATCAAATCCATCTATAACGGTGTATGCAGTTTTAGAGCCATATTGATATAGTACTATGTCTTGAAATTCAGCCAGGAATGTCTACTTTTCTGATAAAAATGTAAGGGTATTTGACCACACTGATACAAAAATCCTCTAACTCAATTATTGCCGTAATGCAATCTGGCTCATTATTTTTCTCCATTGCCTACAATGTGCAAATACAACCACAGATGCTGAAGGGATAGTTATAACAGTATAAACCGTATCGATTGATCTCTGATGATAGATACATTTTTATTGCCTCATTGTCAGTCATATCACCCACCTCTACTGTAAAATGGGCTGTATACAGTGTAGACAGAAAGTGATCCACCTTATTGTAACTAGTCGCTCCTAATATATTTTTTTGAACAACAAGCAAACACAAGAAGCATTTAAAGCAGTGACACAAAATGTGATTGTAATTGCTTCAAAAGAGAAGGTCGCCGTGCTAACCTTGTCCACCCAGCAAATCCATTTTATTCACAGAAACATTTTGAAAGCTGCAGAAGTTTTAGTGAATCAGAAAAAAAGTACTTGAAAAAACAAACAGTAGCAGTAACCCTGTTCAAGTTCAACATCTAAAAGCAAAGCCTGTGGGGGGAAAACACACAACTCATACAGTATACTAAAACATATCATGATGCCACAAGAGGGGAAAAAGAGGCAGAAGGAGTTAAGTGTGGACTTTGGTGGCAGAATTAGCTCAACTACCCTGAGAGCGCAGAATCTCTACCTGTTTGACATTGTAGCCAGTCTTTGCGCTGGTTTCAATGAACATGACATTCAGTTCCTTAGCTCTCTGCTCGCCCTCCTCCGTGGTGATCTGTCTGCTCAGATAAAGGCAGAGGGGGGAGATGGACGAACAGACAGATATGGAAAGAAACGCAAAGAGGACAGGCCAGAGGGAGGGAGGGAGAGAGAGAAAAGAGACATAGAACACAGAATCTTGTTTTGAGTGGAAAAAGAGAGAGGTTAGTTTAGTTATAACACAGACAAAAACGGAGAGGAAGACAAAGGGAGAGGTGCTGCTGTGCCCAGTAGAGATGAAGCAGCAGGGAAACGGCTCCAGAGACCACTCATTCATTCAACAGCCACACTCTGATCCATATAATGAATACATGGAGGAGTCGTACATCCCCGACGGCACCGGTTGGCCTCCCTGACCTAAAGGACGTCATGACGGTCAGGGCTATTTGTCAGTATTACAGCTGCTGTTGCTGGACACCAACCTGTTTGACGTTATAGCCAGCCTTGGCACTGGTCTCTATGTACATCACATTGAGTTCACGAGCTTTCCTCTCTGCGGCCTCAACAGAAACTTGCCTGCCGTGGTCCCGGGAAGGGAGGGGGGAAGGAGTGGTGTGAAGTGTGGTGTTGAGGGAAACAAAACAAAACAAAAAAAATCAGAATGACATGGAGAGAACAGAGCAGAAAAGGGAGCAGAAAAATAAAGCAAACAAAAAAAGGCAGAACAGAAATATGATCAAATGATAAGAAATAAAAAGTACTTAAATCACTAAATCAATAAAAAGGCTAGAGTATGCAAATTACCAAGGGATGATAAAAGTCAAAATTGGATGAGATGCACTGAAGGGAAGAAAAGTGGGATTCCAGGCTTTGGCAGAGTTTATCTACTATAATACTTAATGCTGTCCGTGTTCTAATTGTAGTAGAAATATAAAAGTATCTATCAATCATTGTAAACAGAATAAGAAAATCATAATAATCTTTCACACATCTCACACAACCATGTACCTTTTATCCGCTAAGTCTGTTTTGTTTCCAACGAGCATGATAATGACATCACTTCCTCTCTCTGTTCTAACATCATCAATCCACTTTGAGGTTTGCTGGAATGAATTAAGATCTGTGGAAGAAAAAACAAACAGAAGACTTACTGTACACATCAACTACAAGTAGCCCCAAAAGACATGCAACATTTGGTATTCTAGCTACAGTTAAAAGTATGCCCAAGCAGTTCTTACTCTTTATTAAAAAAAAAAGGTAGAGCATTTTATGTAAAGTAGTCATGTTAGAAAGCAGAAGTATTAAAAAGAGAAGCTTGAAGAAGGAAAATTTACTTAAAGAGATTCTGAAGGTTATTAGCAGAAATATATAAAAGTATGCCAAGTACTATGTCAATATAGTTTCCTTCCAATTCCTCTAGACCCCTACAGAAAGGTTAGAGTACAGCCCTGACTCACTGGTGATGTCATAAACAACCACGGCAATGGTAGAGTCACGGATGTAGCTGGGAATAAGGCTACGAAAACGCTCCTGTCCAGCAGTGTCCCAGAGCTGGAGCCGGACCTGAGGATTGGAGCGGAGGAGAAGAAAGGGGGAAGGAGGTGGAGATAAAGAGGGGAAAGGCAGGACAAGAAAATGGAGAATAGCACAGACATAAAGGAACTGCAAGCCAAGCAGCAGAGATGAAAATGGCCTTTTATGGAGGGACGGGGGGGAATCATTCAAATGCAGCGGGGTCAAAGATGACCAGCATGCAAATAAGACATATAAAAGAAGGCCCTGCTGAATCATTTTTTGGCTGTTTCAGAGGATCTCTGGCCATGAGGTGACATCTAAAAGGCATTTTCCATATATTCCAGGCTTCCATCAGCCTCATATATAACAGCATATGGAAGCACAGACCCCCCTGGACACTGCTGGAGAAATGCTTTTGCCAGGCTAGTAAATGTTTTTCCCTCCCATATACTAAGCGAAGGGACAAGGGGGTGAGGCAAGGCCATGATACCTACTGGCTATGTCATAAACCACCACAGCAGCGGCTGAGTCGCGGATGTAACTGGGGATGAGGCTGCGGAAACGCTCCTGTCCGGCTGTATCCCAGAGCTGCAGCCGAATCTGTGGCCAGCCACAAAATGAATGTGGAAAAGGAGGGGGCATTTCATGACCCAGCCAGGGGATGGAAGGAGAACAAAACTTGAAATAATGATGGGAACTAAAAACATGATCACATGTCTAACAAAATGAATGGTAAATTCTAGGATACTGTAAAAACAATGTGGAATGGTGAAAGGGAAATAAGTGGTGGCTACATTATAAGTAGGTGAATGCTTTAAATGACAATATTATTATAAGGGCTTACCGTGCGATCTTCTAGGTACATGGTTTTTGACAAAAAGTCGATGCCAATTGTTGCCTGTAAGACAATCATTGCATTAAAACATCGTTATAGGTACAATACTTGCATAGCATCTGTATCTAAGAAAAATATTACACAAAAAGGTGTTTGATCACATTGCACATTATCTATAGACCTTAACACATTTTAATTTGTCATAACAGAAACAGTAAAGGTGAATCTAAAAACATTAGCATTGGCTCTGTTCCATTACATCCTGCCAGTAAGTCTTTACACACATTAACAAAGGATCTGGAACTGAAAGATCATGGTACAGCCAACAAGTCAAAATATATGTTGTCAAAAATGTGTTTTGGAACACACATCACATATTGATTAAAATACAATCAGTCAGTGCCTTAGCACACTAATTCAGTGTCATATTATGATAGACATGTGTCATTACCTGGTAAGTGTTGTCGAAACTGTCATACATAAACCTGGTGATGAGCGATGTCTTCCCAACTGTACAAACACAGTAACAGACACTTGAAGACTTGATCCTGGTAATCAAAGACCATACTCTACAAGGCCAAAACTTCAATGTTAAGATAATATCAATACCCAATTACAGAAATTCTAATATAACATAAGGAATAAAAATCAATATGACTCCGTGACATCACATGATGAGTAAACTGCTGTAACGTTAGCTATTATCACTGATGCAATGTAGACTGCTGAACCCACACGCTGAGCTGGCAGTATGGGTGGAGCCACATTTGGGAAATTAAAATGGCTCAACTTTTCACATTTGTCTGTTTGTGATGAAAGACTGCCACTGACATATTACAGAATCACCCCCCAAAATACAATCACGTATAATAATGTCATGTGTCAGTCAGTCCCTGTAAGCTGACGTTAAATGGTCGGCGGAAAGGCCGACTGGTCTGGTCCCATTGGCCGACGTGGCTCTCCAAGGTAGGTAGCTAACAGCTAACGTTAGTGAGTTGAAAAGCGCTACACTGACAAACAAGGATACAAGTAATTGCCTTCACGTATGAGGAGTATTCTGTTTGGAATAAAATATGCGTAATTAACTCTTGACAGCCACATTAGGGTTTCAATCGGGTTCAATGAACATGGATATTAGCTAACGTTACTGCTAGTGTATGTCTGCCAAACACTGCTAGCTAAAAGTAGTTAGCCAGCTACTGCTAGCTACAGTTACGCTATAGTTAACTAACGTTAAACGATGTTGATGCATCACAGCTAACGGCCACAGTAACACCAAAGTCCATTGCTGCATTCTGGCAACAAACAAATCTGTAGATGAATCACAAACGTCAACGATATAAAACGGCAACTCTACGTGTGATGGGCAGTTAAGTTACCGTTAAGACGAAGAGCGAGATGTGTGGCTAACGTTAGCTTAGCGTCGACTGTTAGCTAGCTATGCAATGACATCATCGCGAAGAGAAAAACTGTTATGTCCATTGTCTTTTTGTCATCTTACTCTCTCTTAAACACCATGTTTGCATTGAACCATTAACATTTCGCTTTGTACCATCACTGACCGCTGAGGCACGGTGACCAACTTCATCCTGCTAGCTAGCAGCAAACTAGCTGGAGAAGATAGTTAGCTACGTTGAATCTGTGCCACTTCTTCTGACACTCGGTTCAAATATATCGTTCGCTGCTTACCACTCTGTTCACCCAGAAAGACGAGCTTGAACTTTCGTAGAGGGTTGCCAAACTCTCCGCCGCCGGTCGTAGTTGACATTTTGTCAAAAAATAAACAGCTAACTAGCTGAATTCGCTAATGATGCGGTGTCTAGAGCGGAGAGTCGCAAGTAGTGTATCTTTATCCTGCACTAGCCAGCGCTTTTGTTTTGTTAAACGTACAGAAGGGAAATAGCGCAACCAAGAGGCAAACGTTGAGAGACAACAGAAATTGCAGCGGTAAGTTAACTTAAAGCCTCATTATATGCCCATCTTTTCATTAGGATTTTCTGCTATTTCTTTTATGAACCGAATAAGTAATTTTAACATAAACATTTACTTAGTAGGCTAGGCCTGTCTGAACATTAGAGCACAATTATGTTACTCAGATTTAGCTGCTGATCTTTCACTAAAGCTAGATGGGGTGCTTATTTAGGAAAGAAGAAAGTAACGTTACAGGCTAAGAAAAAGAAGAAGCAGACAAAGAGACAGGTTCTCTGAACCAGCGGTTTTCTGTGTAAGTCACAGTTTTGGGACAAGTGGGCCATGTGAAAGCTGCATCAATGTGCATAAAAAATAATTACTCTGAGCTGCATTTCAGAGCAATGTCTGTATGACAGTGGGTGTTAAGTTTAGTCCCAAGTTAAATGCACACAGTTAACATTAAAGAACCAGATTCATCCTAAGAGCTTTCATAACAAAATTCACTTTTGTTAGTAAAATGATTAAACAATCAATAGTTTTCAATTTGTCTTTTTATGAATTAGTGATGCATAATTTAATGAAGCATTTTCTTAATATAACGAAGTTCTCAGTTTTAACCTTGACACAAACACAAACATACTGAGCAATATAAATAAGACAAGAATAAGGCAATAATTGAGGAGACAATCTTTTAATTTACTTCTCTTGTTGATGAGTGTCATGAACAAATAGCAGTATTTTGGGAGATACCCATCCCCCAGATATTCATTCAGTCATAATATTTAGATTAGGACAACTTTACTGATCCCAAGAAGGGCAATTTGTTTGCAGCTTACCCAGTCCATACACACAACAAACACAATCACAGGTAAGGTATTTATATTTCAGAGGTACAGATCAACATACATAGTGCAATACAAGGGACAATGATCAGCAATAAATAAATAAAAACATTTATGTAATATATAATATATCATGGCTCTAATAGCAGCAATAAATATAAAGGATGAATAAAGCTTAGTATTCTTAATTAATGGAAAGATAAATCTGCACTCATACATACTACAGGACAGAATGTAATGTACAATACATGTTTATTTCTGCAATGATGGAATTCAGAGAAATTTCTCAGTGAAATCCCATGGTAATGCCTAATAACATGTATATGTACAGGTGAAATAAGAACTTTGTAGTGATTTAGTGACACTTTGGGCTTTTCTTCATTCATGTTGAGTTCCTTTTTGTTCTGTATTCTTTGTCCAAGAGGTGATCTTCGTTGGTTGTCTCAACTTTCCATGGAATCAATTGAGATGTCTGTCCTGTAGGCATGCAATGGACAAACAACTGATAATGTGAGTCCAACATTACACCAAGGTAACTCATGGAATACATTTCATCTAATTTTAGATAGCCAAGGGTAAAAGGAACAAATTCCCAAATCAGCATTTGGGAGTTTGTTACTATAGGTACTACTGGAGCATTAAACAGAAACTCATCTTGGAGGGGGAGCAACACATGGTTCAATTTCAATATTTCACACAAGTGCAACAGGGTTATAGGGTGAAACAGTGCACTCATTCAAAGGCATAGAATCCATAGTTATTTCAGAAGGCCTCATAAACATTTTTTATGCAAATGCTTGTCTTACAAATTAAACTATCTTTTGATTTTATTGTTGATGTGTCATTTACATTTACTCATTTGGCAGACTTACATTTGAGAAACAACATACAGACATCAACAAAGCATCAAATACAGCATGAGAACTACAACTAATAATACATGCTAGTAAGATCATCAATAAATACCAGTAAGAGCTAATAGCACATATCACAACGATGGGGTAAATACCTAGGAAAAGAAGTAACATTTAACAAAAAAGTACAATCAATACAAGAGAATTGTAAGGGGATACAAGAAGAAGAGCACAGGAAGTGCATGTTAGAGATTAGGAACAGCCGGGACTGAGGTTGATTTGTGTGTGAAGGGATGGCAGAGTCAGGCGGTCTTCGTTAGAGGAGCGCAGTGGCCAAGAAGGAATGTAGGCTTGTATCACAGAGTTTAGGTAGATGGGGTGCAGACCCAGTAGTCACTCTGTATGCAAGCATTATTGACTTGAATTAGATTCGGGAGGACATGGGTAGCCAGCGGAGGTCTCTGAGTAATTTGTAGGGGTTTCACTGCACAAGCTGGAAGACCTACTTGGAGGGCATTGCAGTAGTTGAGCCGAGAGATAACCATGGCCTGTACCAGAAGCTGGGTGGCACACTGAGTAAAGTAGGGCCTGATTTTTCTTATGTCATGAACTAGATCCAACATTGTAGTGAGCAATTGGAGGAGTAAACACTGTAAAATTTACTGATAAAAGAGTACTCATAAAACACACAGACCCACAGGGGAAAAATATCAGCAGCATGTCACAAACACCACAGCGACACTCTAATATTTTGTCTTTATAATAATAATAATGTCTTTTCATGGAGGCTTTTTAATACTTACACTTCTGCTCAGGATGCAGCAATGGCATGCAATAAACAGATAAAAGGGGATGCCATGACATTAAACACATTAATCAGATCAGTTCCAGAATATTCATTACTATCTATCTGTTTTTGTTTGTGTGAAATGTCTGGCAATTACATGCAAAAACACAAACTCACCTGCAGGTTTTGGGGACATCAGAGTCAGAGGAAGCTCCACATTGACATCACTGAAAATAAAAAGTTTTATTATTAAAAATAAATAGATTAATTCTTTACATGTTGTTTGCACTAATAACATATGACCACAAACGAGGTACATCAATATTTACCTTCCCATTATGCCACCTAGCAGGCTTTTGGTGACAGAGGAAATAAAAGAAACCTTTAGTCTGCACAATTTGACACAAAATGTAAAAGTGTTATGTATGAATATTTTCTTTTCAGTTAAGCCTTACCCTCCACTGGAAATCATTAAATTAACCTTAACTTGATAGGAGACAAGTATTCCCTGCATCTCCTTTCCTCCTTTACTCCTGTGAGGAGAGAGAAGAACAGTTTTAACTTTCAGAGCTTGAGGATTTGCTCTAATACATATACCGATATACCACTCGGTAAGAGGATGAAGACCTGTCCTGGGCTCACTGTAAGTACTTTGATAAGAGGCATACTGAAGTGGCTTACAGGGTAGTGGATGCTAGGTGTGTGTCCTCATCTTTTAGCTGTCCGTCCAGTGAAAGACCCCGCTTTTCTTTGTTGTTGGACAGCAGGGGGGTTATTTCGAAGGACTTCTCAAATGTAGAGTTGGCGTTTACTGTCTCCCTGTATATAGCAGTGAATTACATACAGTGCATAAATAATTAATAAAACATATTTAACTTAACTTAGCCATTATTTGTGAGAATTTACTTTTCCTCAAGCATACTTTAAATTTAAAATGAAATGTAACAATGACAGCGCAGGTTTCACAGTAATAGCTATATAGATTGCATTTAGGTATATTGGGATGTGAGAATATTTAGAATTTCCAGGTTTTTAATTTACTTCCTAAATTAAATAAAAATTGAATCCGAAATGACTCAAATCCTGCTAATAAGCCTCATTTGATACAATGAAAGCCTTACCCAAACTCCTCAGAGCAGACTACCTTAACGTAACAGTCAGATGAGTAGAGCACCACATTTGTTCTCTGCTCAACTGAAAGGAAAAAAATAGCAGAATAATCAGTCAAAATGTATGACTCTTGAACATATACATACATACAGAGACACACTTTATTAACTTCAATCAAGCTTTAATCCTTTCTTCACTACTTACCTGAGACTTTGATTTTCTTAACAATCTTGGTGGTTTCGTTGTTGATTTTTACCATGACACTGATTGGATCTCCGTGGTAATAAATCTAAATATAAAGATAATTTATTTTTATTTTTAGCAATCTTTTATTAAAAAGTCTACATTGAAGTATGTAGACTTCAATGTACCTCTTTTTCAAGGGAGGCCTCCAAGTGAACAGGTTTGTCAGTCATCAAAAACTGCCTGGTTATATCTGCCTTGGGCCCAGCCTTGTTGTTAGCTGGTGCAAATTGTATTTTGCGAATCATCAGACGACATGTGTCCCTAAGAGAAGACAAGACAAGACAAGGTAAAAAAAAAAGACATGCAAAGAGAGTAAGGGTTTGCCCTCTATATGTCCTCATTGCTGCTACAGCTTAAAGGTGCAATACAAGGTTGACCTGAGAGTATGGTTTGGCTGCGGACATACTTCTTTTCAATGACTTCATCTGCACTGATGGGTGTGTTGGCAATGTATCCTTTAACCTCAAAGTCCACACCACAAGCCTACAACAGAACAAAACCCAGACAAATGATTTCTTCGTCAAATATTTGAAGTAGTGTATAAAAGTGAATGGAAAGGCAAAATGGAAATGGACAGTAGTTGTACCTTGCCAGAATCATTTGGCCCAGGCTGTAAGGAGACTGAGCATGGGAGATCTGTTGGCATCTGAAATGAGTAGAAACAAGGCACATTAATAAATACAATTTTAAAATGATGACTGGAAGGTAAGAGGGATGTAACAATCTGTGGTTGGTAAATATAACATTTGAATGATGGACAAGAGGGATTTGATAAATAAAGAGTGAGTTATGCTTCCTCACCTGGAAGGAAAAAGGATATCCTTGGTCACCAATTTTCTTCAGGAGGGATTCTTGCAGTGGTGATATGGTTGCATTTTCACCTGTTGGTGGATACACCTGGATGCGCTGGATCCATATGTCTCTCCTGAAGGACAGCCCAATAACGTCCAACTCATCGTTGCCATAGCGGAAGGCACAAGCAAGGTAGACAAATACTGCAATGGAAAAGGATATATTTAATGTAGTCTTTGTGTTGCATACATTGAGGTTTGATAACTTTCATCATTGACAGCGAATGAGATGGAAATACCTTTTCTGCCATTAAGACCAGAAGGGTCCACTTTAACAACACCATCTGCAAATGAGAGGAAAATCAATAGCATTAGATTTGAACAGAAACATGCACTGTATGTGTGCAGGTTTGAGGATGTATAAACAGACATTTGTCCACACACCAACTACTTCCACTGTATCCACATGGTCCACAAAATCTCTCTTCCCCAAGTACAGTGTAATCTGAGAACAGAAAACGGAGAAAAGCAAAGAGGGAAAGAGTTACTCCTCCGCCAAGGTTACAAGAGTTCGGAAGTTATTTCAGGGAGCTGGAAGAGCTACATACAATTTTCACTCCTCCCTATACCCAAGAGGTGCCCTTTAATGACTATATTATAGAGGCCACTTACATGTCCATTGCCGCTGGTCTTCTTAAATACCCTGAAAAAGAGAAAAAAGGAAAAGACAGTGAATCAGAATGGTATTTCACACGTTTGAACACTTTTAGGCTCACTGAATGTGTTTAAAAAAAAAAACACAAGATGTTTAGGACTGAGCACAAATGACCCTGGTGGAAATGTTCTTGTTTTTTGCTTTACAATAATTTATTTTTTCCACTTCTGAAGTGGTCTTAGTCAATAGTGTTGTGCACCTACCACCTCCCACAGTTGTCTTTTCCACTTACAGGATACCCCTCCCATCCCTATAAGCATAGATTAGTGTTTAGGATAGAAAAGCACCTGCTGGCAAGTGTCTAATCTGGACGTCAGACATCATTGTGATTTGTTCAATACAATATACAATAAGTCAATATATTATACTCAATAACGTATGTAAAATCAAGAATTTCCTGTTTGGCTTAGTGTTCAATCAGGTAAGTAGTTCTTTAGCTATTGTTTATTAATTCTATGCATGGTGCTAACATGACTGTTTGACTCTTGGTGACATATTCCTGAAAATCTCTCCAATTAATTCTATGTTGCTGCAGATGGTAGACATGTTATATTGTGTTTTGTTATTTCTTGGTAAACGTGGCAAATTCTGAATTGATTTCTCAAAATATTCAGTGTTTTTCTTAACATTCCTATTATTACATAATTGCATATAGCAATAAACACACAAGTAATCCTTAGTGGTGTTTGCTTCTTTCGTGTAAGTGTCAAGTAATCCTGTTAAAACTTTTCCTTTGTCTTGTAAACATCTTTTCTAAGATCAAATCCACAAAACCCTCTGTAATCAGGATTTATCCATATCCTGGATAACTGAAGCATTAGAGGAGTCCCAAAGTTTAAATTGTTACATTTAAGCCCCTGGGGTTCTTTCTTGTGAAGTTATTATGACTTAGCTCTCTGCAAAAGTGCTGACTCTTTTTTGTTTCTATCAAATGATTGTAGTTTCAAAAACAATTTTAATAAAACACAATACAAAGTAGTGTCTTGAATTGACAAAGTCGCAAGATAATTCAAGGATTGTTAACATTTGCTATTCCCACAGTTAGTGGATTTTAACCTCTAAACCATACTATACCAGAACAGCCGCTGAACTAATTAGTGAACAAGACAAAACTCTTTAGACTCACTTGGACATGTTGATGGCAAAGTTATAGAGCCAGTCTGCAAATAAAAAAGAGTTATTGAAACATGTGATACTGATTGATGATACTGAAGTATTACTATTATGTGCACTGGTTATTGAGGGATTCAACGGCATTTTTAATTTCTTGTTTGAGATTCTTTTTCAAAAAAAAGTTACAAATTAATGTATCATTACTGTTTTTAATGACTCGTTGCAGCATAGGACGATCCAAAGTTCTAGTACAAAGAGTATCTTTCTGATTTAAAAATTGATTATCTTCCTGTTAAGTAACAACAGTGACACATTTTCAGTAAATGCTGATGCTACTCTGTCATTATCTTGAGTTGTTATCATCTAATGTGTTTCTATGTGCTGCTGGTCAGCAAGAGAAACAGCTCACTTACCGCGCCCTCAGTTGTGTCAGTGAGTCTTCTCTGCTGTCTTCTTTAATCCGTCACTGTTGACAGCATGTAGTGCGTGTGGGTACCAATCACTGTTTCCTGTTTGCTTTTATACTACAGTATGACCTCTAAACCTTGAAACTCCCCTTCAGCTTATACAGCATCTCAAAGAAGACTGTTTAGAGAAAATGTAATTAAAACTGTGACTGTTTTGGTCCCCAGCATGTGTAAAAGTAATGTTGTGTATGTAACTTCAAAAGAATAAGCTCAGATAAGTAGGTAAATTTGGGAGTGGGACAGATATGGAATGCAACAGGCCATGTCCTGGAGTGTTGGTCACTTGGTCTTTGCCGGTTTTTGAATCAGTCTCATACTTCCTGAAGTACATGTGCTGCAGGACGTGAACAATATTGTGTACTCAAGTATGTAATCATGAATGAAATCAGCCTACTAATGCATTTCATGTGTAATTTGATCTGTATTTAAACTGAACATCTTGACTGAACAGCACACAGCTGTTTATAGTTTTCTTACTATAAGTAAATGTTTAAAAAACATTTACTTAAAAACACTCCAAATGTGAAAAAACTGATTTTTATTATGAAAGTCTAATCTATAAACTATGGTGGGTCATATGGCTTCCTCTAACATTAGAAGACCTGAAGTGGAAAGGTTTTACATCTGTGATTGTAAAAATTTTGTTTTTAGTGGCTCAATGATATAATACAATACTGAAGTAATCATTTAACTTATTTGCTCCACATTGTGAGAATGTGAATGCTATCAGATCAGCCCTCATTAAGGTTTAAAGATTGTCTTGTGAATGGACTATGCACGAATCTTCAAGGACTTCCTTTTTTATAGCTTAGACAGGAGTAGAGTGGTATTAGTTGGATTTTGGTTGTTATGGTAGCCTGGGCGACAGATGGCTCCTCTACCAAGCCTTGTGCAATCTGTGCTCATGGCAGGTTTACAGAAGTCAAAGTGACCTGCTGACTCACTGCAAACAACAAGGCTGTACAACTAGTACCACTCTGGATACAAAATCGCCATGCTGATCAATTCTACAGTAATGGTTGTGACTAAGTTCAGAAAGTTATTGGTATTATGTATATCACGTCTGTTGTGTAAGGTAACTTGTGGTACTGTACATTGACAGGCCTTTATTTACACTTGGCTTTCTTTTCTTCCTGGTCATAACCTTTTTAAATTTTACTTAGATCTACTTACATTAGTTGAGAAGGATTACCTGCATCTTTTAGTTTGGTCTCTGTGAAGCTAGACTGCCTCATTTGTAGAAAAGGCACAGGTTTAGTCTGGTGCTCAGGTCTTCAAAGGACCTACAATGATTAGCAGTGACCAGAGATCCAGTCTGTAAATTGGCACACAGCTTTAGAGGTAAATCCGTCTGGTGGATTGGTGGAGGATCTTCTTACTTCCTTAGCCAGGCGGAATTGATTGATCAATGAGGGATCTGGATGATGGGTTTTAGGGATGAATTGTTACAACTTGGCAGTCAAGGATAATTAATTAGATTGGTGGATGTTTGTTTTGACCTCCAAATGTCATACGGGGACATGGTTTGAGATCTCTTTAAAGCTACCCAGACAAGACAGCACTGGTACACATTACACTGCTAGATCATCAGTCAGGAGTTCACAGGCAAAACTGTTGATAATTAAAGCTACTATCCTAATCATTCTACATATATACCCCACACAATAAAATACAGAACAGCCAAGGAACGGTGGAAAGCATGCTTTAGACTGTTGTAGTATACCAGATGTCATTGTAACAAATTCAAGTAAACAATTACTTTTGGAAGGGTGGTGATATGTGGGAGCACTGACTCCTTTTAAGTGAAACATGAGGCTTTTATGTAACTCACTATCACAGCCACAGTTTGGCCAGAAAATGGTCACACAAACTCATAACTGACTCAGTCTACCTGTGAAAACCTACACTTCTGCCCCCCACTTTGGAAAAGAAAGTTTAAAAGTAACTGTAGCGAGCAACTGCTTGAGGATGCCCCAGCACCAATGCCGACACGGAGAAATTGTTACACACTTTATTTTTCCGTTGCCAGCACAAGCACACATTCATTTAGCACGATTCTTCGACGTTCTCCTGGGCCGACCCACTCCTGCTGGTTGTTCTGATCCAGCTGGCGAGGTTCAACTCAAACTAACAAAAGCTCCAAACACGGCCATCTCCACTGTGTCTCGCCGTGTGTGTTGTGTAGGTTGGCAGCAGACATCTGAGCCATGCAGGCTCTGTTCAAAATCAGTGACATTTCGGGCAGCTTTGTAACCAAGATAAAAAAAATTGGAACTTTGTTGTATTTTATTTAAAATAAATAACCTGAATGTTCTAGTATGTTATTTTCTGTGTATTCTATTATTGGCATTTACAGTCATTCTGATATAGCCTCTGTGCGCTTCACTGGGCAAACAAAACCACATCAGGGTGAAAATAGACAAAGGGAAACTGCACTGCCTGAAAGCATTAACTCATATAATGACAATTGGTTTGCCTTGTTGATGAGTCAAGTGACACACTTCATCAATGCTAAAAAAATATAGACTGAGTATTCATACATTTATAAACAGGTCTCTTGAGGTAAAGTGTAAAATGAGGGTAAAATGAGCTCACTAAGTCACAGTTCAGCTCTTGGACAATGAGTCATGAATCAGAGTGAGAAGTCTGTTTGGATATAAATGTTATGCTCTGTCCTTTATACACTGTATTTTTTATCATTTGAATTAAGTCAGATGTTTTATTCACTCTGATCACCAACATTTTAGATACATCATTGTGAACTGTTTGTTAAATGGCCTAGCTAATGTGTCTGTGTTTTTGCTAACACCGTTTGCATGGAGCCATATTTTTGCATACCACTTTACTCTCGGTGGGGTAAAGACACTGATAAAACCTAGGATCATCTTATTTTCTGATCTCCTCATACTAAACTGTCTCTCTCCAGTTTTGGCTGTGGGAGGTTACATACAGTCACATAAGCCCCTTACACTTAAGCTGGTACCATTTTTGGCAAGCACTTTATATAGACAGTCAACCTTCAACAATGATTTGTAGTTATATACTCAACATCACCAGGCAGGTAAAGGAGGTTCCCCGTTAGCTTATAATCAAATATGTTCTGCTCATTGTATCTACCTGTATTTTTGGCAGCTGCTACCCACTAACTCAACTCCACTGATGCTTTAACTTTAAAGGCTTGTTGTTGCCATCAGTCAGAAAGATATGTTACGAGAACATAGTCATCCACAAACAAATCACTTGTTCATTTATTTCTTATTCATGGCTTACTAACGCATTGTGTTGTCCCTTTTAAACACATAACTTAGGAAGTTATGTGTTTACTTTATATGTTTACTTTGTAATATTTCAGATATTTCAATTAAACTATACTTGCTATTTTAAAATGTCTTTAATTTTTGAATAGCCTTTTAATGACACTGAAAATGTTTAATAGAAAGCTCCTTACTTAATTTATTGTCCTATTACTCTTTAAGATAAACTGTTTTATTAGCTTGCATATTGTATAATCAAGGCCTGCCTTGCTGTCTGGCCTTAAAGTTAAATAAAACAATGCTAATCAAATTCAAAATCCAATCTGACAGCCGGTAGGGAAAATGAAAGAAAGCAAGTGGTACTAAATGGAGTATGTCTCCAATCCACTGCTTGCATAAGTCGAGCTTATCGTCAAAATGAGAAAGGGACCAGATCAGCGTTGGACAACAATTGCTGTTTCTGAGAATGGCAAATGTGATAAAAGAAAGACTATCTCTAAACAAGGTGATTTTATTCTAATAATGGTGAAGTTTTGTAGTTTTGTTATCTGCCTGTCTGAGATACACTATATCTTCACCAAAGCTTGTGTTCTGACAAAGAACTATGACAATATACAGCGCAGTAACTAAATTTCAGTGAAATATCTTAACAACAGTTGGGTGGATTGATGTGAAATTTTGTACAGGTGTTCATGGTCCCAAGACAAGAAATCCCACCAATGTGTGATCCCCTGACTTTTCCTCTAGCACAAATATGAGGTTGACATTTATGGTCTTTAGTGAAATGCCTAAACTATTGGATGGATTGCCAATAAATTTAGTATAGATATCCATTGTACCCAGAGGATGAACCCAAATGACCTTGGCGTTCCCTGACTTTCCCTTTAGTGCCACCAGCAGGTCAGTGTTTTTTACTTAACCAGGAAATATCTTAACATATGTTGGACGGATTGGTACACAATTCTGTACAGACATTCATGGTTCCCAGATGTTCCCTATGAACGTTGGTGATCTCCTGACAAAATGAGGTCGACATTTGCGGTTTTAAGTGAAATGTCTCAACAGCTATTGGATGTATTGCCATGACATTTGTTACTGTTTTACCATTCAGGAAGAATTGCAATTACTTAGGTTATTCTTTAAAGTTCCATTAGTGCCATCATCACGTCAAATTTTTTATTTGTCCAATATATTGGTTTATGACCAAATACCTGCAAAACTAATGGCATTTCCATCAGCCCTATGTTTACTTTGTGTTTAGTGCTAATCGGCAAATGTTAGCAAGATAACATACCAAACTAAGGAGGTCACTGTGGTAAACATAAATGCTAAACATTAACTGTTAAACAACATATTGATTGTGAGCATGTTAGCATGTCAGCGTTAGCATTAGCTTACAGCTGTATGGCCTAATGT